ATATATATATATATTGAAAAAGTTCATCTAATTGATATAAAGTTCAGCAAAGTTCATCTAATTGTAATTTTTTTTTCAGTTTATAGAATTTGCTTCTATTGTATTCAAGAGTGATATTTTTGAAATCAATCTAGCTGTTGTTTCATTCTTAAAAGCATTCTGTGGAAAAAATTTGTCAAGAAATAATAAAGAGGTAATAATGATCAAAATAAAGAGTTATAATTTTTGACAATATTTGATTTAGAATTATTCTTACACTCTTTTGCATCCAACTCATGACTATTTTCTTCGAAACTTAGTGATATTCCTGTTATTTAAATACTTATCTTATATTTTTTGCTTGAAAAACTTCACCATTTATGAGTTAATATTTTTAGTATTTAATCGTCAAATTTGTTTTGATCAAATGTGCTGTAATTGGTAGGAAAATTATGTTATATATTGTGTTTTATATATAATTTTCATTATTACTTATTTTTTAACAACACAATTTTTATCAAATTGTGTAAATAAATGCTTCTTTACATATATTTTTGCAGAAATTTTTTTTATTAAACTCTATATAATGGGCAGAAAGTATAAGGTTAAGAAATTGAAGCAATTGAAATTTTGCCCCTAATGTAATTTTATTTAATAATAATAGAAACAAATCAAACATTTAATAATCAGTTTAAAAAATATAATTTATTAGAATAACTCAACAGAATCTCATTCCAAATCTATCAGGGTTATGAAATGAACAATTTTACGACAACAAGACTTTACAATTGATTGTAGAACTAATAGTGATTAATAAAAATTTTAATGATATTTTTCATTACATCATTTTTAAATGTGTAGCTTATGTATATCTATATTTATTTTTAAATATTTAGGCATCTTTATTAAGTTTTTTACCCCATGTGTTATGAAAATTTTTTAATCCTTCTTATTTTATGGTCTATAGGTGCCAATCCGCTCTATTTTTAGTTATTCCTTAATTTTTGTTCTAAATCTCAAACTACTGAAAAGATACATAGCTATTTTTTACAAAATTCTCTGGAAAAAAATATGCATTTTAGTTGCATTTAAGTTGAAAAATATTTCATATAATAATAGTTAGCAAAACAAATTTTTATCATTTTTGTAAAATAAATAGTATTTACAAAATCATGGAGGTTAGGGTTTCATAATTTTGAGACTAACGGCATGGTCGTTGCAAAGTGCCTCTCGCCAGCTACTTTTATTTCTCAGGCAAGTTGGTACCTTTCTGTCTGAAACAGGGTTTTTCAACCTGCTGCTTAGGTTGTTAATTTTAAAAATAAAGTGTGATTTAGTAAAATTGGTAGCATTATTTAGCAATTTTTATTTGAAAATAGTATTAATGAAAGAATGATTGCAGAAATGACATTCCCATAATTCTTCATTGGTTAAATTGGAAGAAATATCCTTTCTCTGTCTGGAAAGAACCCATTAATTTGCATGCGATAACTTAAGTTCTGGTCTCGAAAATGCATATTATATTACACGAGAATTGGAGACATGTATTAAATTTCTAGGTACAATGTTTATAATTTTAGAATCATGATACAAAACTACCTTCTCTAAGAGTAATTCTTTTTAAATTCTGTTTTAGCTTGATTCATTGACATCAGCCATTGCACAGCTATTATCTGATGTGATGCAGAGCAAGAATTACATCATCAGATTTGAGGCTTTCAATTTATATTTCAGACTTGCTGAATCCACCCCTCACCCTGAAATTGTGAAGAAAACTGTGATGAAGTGTCCTGCTTTGGTTCCTTCAATAAAATCCTATGCAGAAATGGTAAACATATTTTGAAATTATTTATTATTAAAAAGACTTGCTTCAGTGTTAAGAGAAAACTGTTAAAAACTTTATGATATTTAAATTTCTGCTTCAAGAATATGAATTCTGGTGTTACATGAAGAATTTAAAGAATGACCATTTTGTCTATTTTATTTATCTGCATCCTGTTTTTCAGTGGATTCTACCTTTAAAAAAAAAAAAGAAGAATTTTCCAATTATAATTTTAGGCTAAACTGGGATATTATTTATTGGCATGCTGCCATGTTAAAATGTAAATGAAGTATGAAATAAACTAATATTTAGATCCTATAAAATTGCAAACATTTGAGTCAATTACTCACAAAACATAAATTTTTGAAAGAAATTTTGTAATTTTTTTTTATTCAATTAATAGAAATAGTTTGATTCTTTCTTCAGTTATTATTGCTATTTTAAAACAGCATTTTATCAGCTCATTTTGAAAAATTTATCATTTTAATGTGATGAACGCATGTTTAATTTTTATTCTTCTTAAAGTCGTTGCTTAATTTTCTTTTTGTCCTCTATATTTTAATGCACTAAGAATAAACATTGTTTTGATGATTTAACTATATATAGCTTTCAAAAATGATGAGATCTCAGAATCATAATTGCAAAATTAATGCATATATTTAGGCAGCTGCTGAATTAGTATTTATTTTTAGAAGTAACTTATGAATGTTAATTAGTAATTACAATTACACATTAATAATACAATATTCCTAATATAAATACATTGATATACTTATATTAATGTACATGTTGTTAATACAATTAAGAATTAGTTATGAAAGCAAAAATTATGATTATTGTCATAAAAAAAACTATACCTTAGATTGAGTTACACTGCAAAGAATGAGTATATTTTAGAGAGAAATGTAAATTTTTAACAAATTAAAAATGAAAATGTATAATACAAACTTAATTTTTTTCCAAGTTTCATTAATTTTGTAATTTTAAATTTTTATTGTATATTCAAAGCATACTACAAAAAATAAAATATTTTCTTATTCAAAATATATAGGAAATAAAAGCAAGGCAATAAGATACAAAAACTTAAATCTTACAATAGTCTCATTCAAATGTTATACAAGGTTTGTTTTTTCCTTCGTTTATAAATGCGATCTTTGTCACTGAGCAGTCAATACTATCCAATTTGAAATTTACTGACAAAATAAATGTCAATAGTTTAACTGAAAACATGTGCCATATTTTGTTATTTATGTATCAATATAAATAAAATGTTATAAAAAACGCTTTGAAGAAAATTAATTGATTTGAATAATTTCTTCAGTAAGAAAATTTCAACATTTATTTTAATAAATTTTAAAACAAAAACAGCTTGACTTTCATTTTAAATAAAAAGAACTATCCTTTTTGTTTTTAAATAAAAACATAAATTTGTAATATATTTTTTTATTGAATACATTTTTTCGCTCTCTTCCAATATTTAACTTCCACCCATTTGTACCTATATTGTTGACACTAACAATACAGCTGTAGAAAAGTTAGAAATCACAATTACGTTTTCCTCTTTATTACTCACATGGGGATAAATAAGTTCCTATTTAATTTTTTAAATGAAAGCTTTATCTGGTATAACTTACTTATTTAAAGTTATTTACAGCCAGTGTTTTGTGAATTTATACATAAGTTTAGACAATGAGCAGTACACTTATTGTGATGCTTATTATTCTACATATAACTCTTGCAACATATGCCACAAAAAATAAATTAAGTATTAAGAATTTGCTTTGAAAAATTGGAAATGGCTTTGCTTGCCTAGATTTGTGTAATGATGATTCGACTCTACTATTATTAGTTTCTTAAAAGTTTACATTTATAGCTTTTACTAATTTTTCAATCAACCTTCAAATATCCTTTTCAGATTCCTACGAACGGATTTGTAAAAGAAGAAATCAGATATGAGATGTACCAAAAACAATTGGCTGAATATCAAGTAAATAATGCATTCAGAGAACATTTTTCTGATGAAAGCAAGAAAATATTGTCTGATTTGTTTACATAATGCCATTTGATGATTATGTTAAATTATTAATTTATCAAAAGTTTGTTTATGTGTAATAATAAATGTTTCCATCTTGATATTGGATTTATTACATTGTGTCTGTTTTATTGTCTTTTAAGAGACTAATAGCTAATTTAATTTAAGAGAGACATTTTTGATAGTACGTTTAATGATTGAGGCATTGAGTATTAAATAAATAATTTATATTCAAAAAATTGTATTTGTGAAAGTCTATTTTATAAATAACATGCTGCATTTTAGTTTTAAACTTTGAAGTTTTTTGGTATTAAAAAATTTAGTGGCTGAAGGTTTTATGTACCGTTTTAATAAGTTTACATAAATGAGCTTTAAAGTTTATACCTTGACAACAGAAAATAAAGAATTTTAAAAGACTTTTTATTCCTTATCCTCCTTGTCCATAAGGTTCAAATTGGTAAAAACTATTAATCCTTAACACTCCTTTAAGTTGTTTGAGTCCTAGCATTCGCATTTTAATTTGATGTCGAATGACAAATTTTGTTCACTGTTTGTTGCCAATTACACTTAAAACTGTTGAACCACTCAAATATTGTTACTCAGTATTTCCAGTCACAGAAATCTGCAAATTTTAAAGACTTGATACAAAATAAACAAATTTTGAATTATTAAATAAAATTGTCGAGAAATTTAAATTTTTTCCCCTAAAAAATTATTTTTAGAACTTTTTTTCACTAAGCCTTTCAAGTATTCCAAACTCCTATTCTTTATTACTTACAGTGAAATTTTCACTAAGCCTTTCAATTATTCCAAACTCCTATTCTTTACTACTTACAGTGAAAAAGTTCTACCATCTTATAACTGTCTAACATAATTTAACCTCTATTTCACTTTATTTTATCAGGGAAATAAAAAAAAAAATGTGAAGTTTCTTTTTTGTGAGATAAGGATCTTACGTATGTGCAAATTTTTCTACAAATCCTTCAAGCTTTAAATCTTTTCAATATAAGGTTCTCATTCTGCATTTTAAAGGAGTTACACTCTGAATTGAATACATTGAACAAAATGCAGATTCATATAGGTGAAAATATGGGCATAATCGTGTGTAGCTCCTGCTCGTAATATGTTTTATTGTTCAATTCAGAGCATTTCTGTGCTGTTGACCTAATTTTTTTTCTCCCAATGTTTAAAAAAAAAGGAGGGGTTTCAGTGATGGAAAGAAACTTTTACTTATTTTATGACTCCAATCATTTTTCTGCAGAACTTTCTTCTCTGCGTGAAAAGATAATTGCGTTTTAAATTTTTTATCTATTTTTATACTGATTTTTTAGTCGTTCTGGCAATTCTGTTTTTTCCCAATCCAATCTCAATCAATGGCTATTTCAAATAAATATATATGTTTTAGGTAACTTCTATTTATTTTATTCAGGTGACTATATTATTGGTTTCCATAGTTCACATTGAGATTTTCTACAACAGGAATGTTAGGATCAGGAATAAAATAAATAGTCATTAAAGTAGGAAAAAGCTGCTCTTGATGTGTCTTGCTTAAAGTATAGGAATTCTAACTGCAATTTTTCTTTAAGCTATTTAAAAGGGAAAATTTAAAAATCTTGATTTATGAAAAACATGATGCCATTAAGACTAGGAAATTTTTAGGATAAGTTTTGCTTCCAGAAAATGATTAACTCTGAAAATAATCTTTTAAATAGAATACTGAATATTTATGGCTCTTAGTTTCTAGGCCTTAAATTTAATAAAGGAAAACTAATTTAAGCTATTATTTGATATAGAAAGACTACGAGGCATTCTATAGTACACCATGCACATACAGAAGATAGAATTCTTGGTCCAATTTTCTATGCCACTCCCAAGTTTCAAACGTTAATGCAAAGATCTAAATATGAAGAAAAAAACTTCATCCATGAAAGTATTCAGCTATGTGGATCTGTCTATTTATTTATCCATTTCCCTTATTATCTCCCTTGAGAAGAATGAAATCTCTGTGTGATATTATAATGTGTGCGGAGTAGGTGGCACTTTGTATCTCGAAGGTTTTCGTTTATGTTGGTGAGCTTTTAAATAGGTGTAATTCTAAAATTATTCTGTCATGCAAGAGGAAAAATTCAATTTTAAAACCTGAAAGTTTGTTACCTATTAAAAATATGACGTTAGTAGGACACAGCATGCATGTTAAATTTTAAATTCTTATTGGTACATTGTGGAAATGTAGGAATAGAGTCACTTTAGGCACTGATCTCCAGAATAAAAACAGGTGTTTCTACCACTAAGGGAGCCTGAAAGGGAGGTCGCTGAAACATCGCAAAGATTTTCACTACTAGGCAAATTTTGCATATTTACAAAATTTTATTTTCCCTCTTTTTAACTTTTTTTAAAAAGCAATGATAAGCCATGATGACTCAGGGGATAGCTTTCGCCTTCAAATGAGTTAAACCGGGTCCGAATCACCGACCACAGTGCTGACGTAAAATATCCTCAGTGGTCGATGGATCATGGGTTAGAGTCCCCCTGCAGCCAGCCTAACCGTGCGAGGTTTTCTTTGTCTTCCTCTCCTTGTAACGCAAATGCGGATTAGTTCCATCGAAAAGTTCTTCACGGAGGCAAATTTCTCCCAATACTTAATCCGGGAATTCCCTTGTCTTCTAGATTGGGGTAAAATTGCAAGGTTACGGGTCCCGCAGTGGGCTGATCGTTAAGACACGGTTCCCAGCAGATCACCGAAGTCAAGCATCACTGGCTACGGTCAGTGTGCGGGTGGGTGACCACTTGGATCAGTCTGCGTAGGGACCGAGGGTGTGCGGTATTGGTCCTCGTTAAACTGTTCTACCGTAAAGTGCTCGACTTCGCGTGCAGGTCGTCGAGCTACTGAAGCGGGGGTGCCATCCCCTCCACAGAGGATCAAAATTGTGATGGCGTGTCTTCGGATCATCCTCAGGGATGTTTCCCAGACAGTCGCCAATAGCTCATTGTGCAGCTCTAGTGCTACGTAAATGAACTACAGCAACAATAACAAGGTTACGGAGTCGTAAACCAAAATTAGATCGGCTGTTCAACGACGGTTATAAAATAAAATAAAAAGCAATGATAAAAATTCTCTAAAAAGGAAGCCATTCCACAGTTCTGATTCTTCTCAACAAATCTTATCCCTCCCTTGACGTTAAAACGCCTATTTTTCAGCATGAGTTAATTGAGAGCATCAATTAACTCATCTTCAAGACCCCCTTGCACATTTGTTTTATGAAAAAGAAGAATTCCAAAAGTGCGTATCAATGACTAGGTAAATACAGTTTGGTTAGTATTAACGGCGGATGTTGCTTGAAGTTGAAGAAGTTGACCTTGCAGAAGTATTTTATCTCTTTTCTTTATATTAAAAAAATACTATCGCCGTCACCATCACTTCAGAAATTTTTCGCCGAGCATGCTTCTCACTGTGCGTCGCCAATAGCCCATTGTGCAGCTCTAGTGCGACGTAAATTAACAACAACAGCTTCTCACTGTGATAATTATTAAACTATTAGATAAAGCAATTTGTAACATTTTGCACATTTCTAGCTTAATGAACATCTAAATCGAAAACTTCTTTTTTCCACTGCTGTTTACATTGATTTGCAGGACGGATGAAGCCTGTTGTGGTATGCAGATGATAATAGCCTTTCAGCGCATTCACGCAAAGCAGGCTGTGGTAGCGATACGTACAATGTGTATAAAAGAAGAGGTTTGACTGTAAGTTTCTCATACAGAAATTGAATTTGAGCGTGGTTCATGGGTAAAAAAGTTTTTATTATACCTCGTGTAAGAAGTAGAAATGCCTACCAGCACGTGTTTGATCAAGATTGAATTGTGGCCTGCCGAGATAGCGGTTTAACATACCGAAGTATTGCTTCTCGCGTTGGTCCATAACAGTTAGCAGAATATGGAATCGATGGGTTCTTGACGGACATATGAAACGCCGTGCTGGATCTCAGCGGCCCCCGTCACAAAGAGTCGAGAAGACAGACATGTTATCCACATGGCCTTAAGGGATCGTACAGCTACGTCACAAACCCTGAGTAAACAAATGGGGTCATCTGCAAGACAACAAGTGTCTGCACGAACAGTTCTACAGCAATGGATTGCAACAGCCATTGGGTTGCAACAGCATGGATTGTCAGCACGGCGATCATGGCTTTGGTCACTCTTGACGCTGCATCACAGGCAGGAGCTCTTCCAATGGTGTGATCAATCACGAACCTGAACGCAGGAATGGCATTACGTCGTCTTTTGAGACAAATCCAGGTTCTATATACAGTATCTATTACATACAGTTTATACAGTATGTAATAGATACTATGTATACAGTATCTGTATACAATCTATTTCCTTATAAGGAAATAGATTTTCTAAAATCAACAGGAAATAATTATTATTGTAAAGATTTATTGAACTTTTAACATTTTCATTCGTTTATTATTCGAAAATTAAATTATGAGATATTTAATAAAGAAAACGTGGCGAAGATTGAATCTAAATTTATTAAAATCTTCAAATCAATATTTGCCATTTGTAAAATTGCAGAATATGTAAGGATTCTAATATAACTTAGAAAAAGAGGAGAGGAAACGAAAGTGGAAAGAGTCTCAACATGGAACCGGTCTATACAGTAAGAACGCAGCAGTAAATGTTCTTAACGATTACGTTTATGTTGCCACAGTGAAAGAAGTTTTCAAATGAACTGAAGTTAATGTTGTTCAGAGAAAATAAAGTTTTCAAGAATCTGTCGTGTTGTTAAAATTTGGTCACCCCTTAGCCGAAGCTATCTATTTTATGCAGTACTAATTAAATTAAACAATGGTAAATTTTACAAATATTTTTGAATCTCTGTTGCTTTATATTCATTTTCTAGAGTCTTATAGTTTTAAACCAGTACTGTTATCTGACAAAACAGATGCACTATGATTGTCAAATATATCTCTTAATTATGATTAACGCCATGCCGTCTTGTTTCGCGATCTTGATTTGTATTATTTCTGAATCTTGTAATTTGCTAATTTTTCATGAAGCGGGTTTTAATTTTATTCATGCGTAATGATATTTCACCTGATGTTTAATAGTATTGAAGTTTTTACAAATGCATTGAATCATTGCAAATGTTTCTGAAGTAAAACATTTAATTATTCCAATTTAGAACGTACTGTTTTTATTTTAGGGGTTCGTTAAAGTTGTTAAAAATAAGTCGTACTTCAAGCGTTTCCAGGTGAAATTTAGGAGGAGGAGAGGTAAGTAACTGTTATGTCACAGTAAACATTGAATTTATGTATTGTACTAACATTCTTTGCACTAAAAATTTATTTCCTTTTTTCTCACAGCACTTTTTTTTTTATATCAGTGTCCTTGTTAAAACGTCATTGTTTATCTTTTAACAGTTAAGTTCCTCTTGTATCTAATGCTGGTATAAGTTTCAAATCGTAAAAGTCTAATATCACTATGAACTGTTCGAACATTACACTGTTCCTAACATTGCTAGTTAAACGTTCGGACCATGTGTATTTTCATAGTCTTTATAAAGCAAGGCAAGAAGGGGAATTTTTTAATATTAATTAATTTGCTTAGTAGAAGCTTAAGGCAGAAGTGATTGTGCTTCGGAAAATCCAGATTTTTCACTAACCTCGATCCTAAAGTTTCTGGAAATCACCGATCACATTTACGTCTAAAAATTCTTGTATATATTAATTAGAATTATTAGAACTTATAATTATACCTTGCATCTCTTTCATTGGTAAATATTTTTTCCTTAGAATAGTTAATGTGAGAAAGTAAACTTAAACATAATTATTCTTTTATATTATGCCGCATATAATTTATTTAGAAATTATATCTTTGAAATATCATATCAATGATTTAGGGGGAGATTTTCACATCCTGATCTGTGGCAGAATAATCACCAAGTCCTGGCAGTTGTCCAGGAGAAACTATAAACATCACAAAAAGGAACAATCACAAAATGTATAAGCAACCCTCGAGCAAACATATGTTTGTTTGTTTTTTATAATTTGCAAGTTTAAAAACTATATGGCACCTTTGCGATTGTCCTTGGTGCAACAGATCAGGATATGGAAATATCTCCCCAAAGTAAGAAAAGAGTGAATCGTGGATAATCCACTTCTCGCAGATAACAGAATAATTACTGTAGTACAAAAAAGCTCACATTTACTTTTTCTCTTTTTTCTTTTTTTTTTAAAATTTTTTTTTAGATTGAATCCTAAAATCTATTTTATTATTTAATGGATCATGTCTTATTTATCTAAATATAAAAATGTACTTACATCTAGATAAATTATATGTACTTAATTTTTAGAAATTTATTTCATTTAAAAAGAAATGAATGGACTGCTTAAAAACTAAAAAATATTTCAGATTAAATTCTGATGGTTGTTATTGATATATATAATTTCTTTTTTGAAAAGTATATTATTCAGTTTTCCAGTGATTTTAAATTATTTTATATTTTGCTTAAATATATTTCATTAAAGAATGCATCTTTGAATATTTTTTCTCAATTTTCATGTTAAAATATTAACAAAAAAAAAGCTCTTAAGTTAATGAATCATTTTACAAGAAAATATATTTATAGATTGACTTTTCGCTTTCCTGTCTTTTCGCTTTTCCTTCAAAGCGTTTATTTTGATAATGAATGAATTAGGATAATTTAAAAATTGAGGGTCAAATTTAGTTTTATATTGTTATGCATATTTATATTATAATATTACCTACACATTACTTTAAAAAAAATGTTGTATGAATGATGAAAATATAGTTAAAAAAGAATCATACATAACTTATGGTCCAGTTGAAGTTATCTACTTTAGATTTTTCAAAGTTTTACTTGTCCATATGCCTTTCAGAAGAAAAATTAGCCATATGCAAAAAACTTTCTAATTTTGTGTTGTAATTTTTTGTGTTCTAACTTTGTTAAATTCTCAATAAAATATATTTAAATTTCCCCCTAAAAAACTTCGTTGAATTATTTCTCCTAAGAATACTTTGCTCAATATTTGACCAACATACGGCAAAAAGCTGAATCTGTGTTACATCCCTAATTTTTATGCCAAGAGTTTTTTTGGAGTATTGGCATTTTTAACTTTATGCTGAGCAATAATATATAAATCAGAAATTCTTGGCTATTTTGTGTTTCGTATAGATATTTTCTACTATAAAATTTTTTCTTCAAATAGTTTGGTTCCATGCTGCAGAATTTTTGGGATTTCTGCTACAAGCCTTTCTTGCACTGATATCCTTCTGCAAGATACTTTTAATAATAACAAATATATTTGTTACTAATTTATTGTAATAAAAGCAATGTGTTTAAAAACAAAAAACCGATTTTGATAAAATAAATTGTATTAGTAGCATTTTGCAGAAGGATGTTACGGCTAGAGAGTTTCTTGCAGATAGCTTAAAAAAATTCTGCTACAGGGTTTGTAATAAACATATTAAGAATATCAAATTTTAAAAACTGTGCTGAAATTGATATCAATATCTGTCGAAAATACAGTGTATTACTTCGGATTTACAAAACCGAAATTTTTTAGTTTCCAGAAGAAAAATCTTTCTGCAAAACTCAACTTTCTGCTACAATGTCGCTGCAATTCTACCACTGGGGTCTGATTTTTGTAATTTTTCATAGATCAGGACCATGTTTACACAAATTCACTGAGTTATTTAAAAGAAACTGACCTTTCAAAAAAGTCTAGAATAACTCCTGTTTGATGTTTCAAGTGGGTGTTGTATCGTAACTTGAAAGCTGCTCTCATTGCTAGTTTTTTTACTAGAAAAGTGAATTAATTTTATTGTATTTCTTTTTTTATCTAGAGGGCAAAACAGATTATTATGCTAGAGTCAAACTCGTCGTTCAAGACAAAAACAAGTACAACACTCCTAAATATCGCATGATAGTACGATTTACCAACAAAGATATCATAACTCAGGTAAATTATTTCCTCGTTACAAGGTAAATTATTTCCTCATTACATTAAGTCTGATTATTTTAGACTAAAAAATGAAATTTTTTTTTGCAGATAGCGTATGCCAGAATTGAAGGTGATGTAATTGTGTGTGCTGCGTATGCACATGAATTGCCTCAATATGGCATCAAGGTCGGGTTGACCAATTATGCTGCTGCCTACTGTGTTGGGTTATTGTTGGCTAGAAGAGTAAGTGGACTTATTATTTCAACATAATTTATACATTACTCAACTGGCAGGAGTGACTAAATTCCCAATTGGAAATTCCTGGATTTTCACATCTTTTAGAATTTTAAAATAATAGATGGACGGGTAGTTTTTCAGTTAATTTGTGGGATTCTGTAACTTTCAAGCCAGGTGCATTGATTTGCAGAGTTCAGATTTTTGGTAATCTAAAGTTCGATTTTTAATTATTTTTTTTTAATCCTGTCCAGTTAACGCAATATTTATTCCTTCCATTACCATTATCCCTTTTTTCCGACTGAGTTCTCTCCTTGTTGCTCTAATTTTTTTTTATGGAGTTAAGTAAGAGAAAATTTTTCTAAGTACCAAAAACAGATGTGTTGAATTGTTAATATAAATAACAATTCTGCTGTTATTTACATTTTATATACAATTCCAAAAGGTATTATTTCTCTGATATTTTTAATATGTATTTTTATTTTGTAATTTAATGTTAAAAATATGCTCTCCTTATATTCCATGAAATAAGTCTCCAAGGAGTACTAGGGACTACTTAGATTTCTAAATTAGTCCTTAGAAACTCCTTAGATTATTATGTTGAATAGATGAACTTACTAAGTACATTGATAAATTTGCTGTCCAAACAGGGAAACTAAATGATATGACTTAGCTGTCAAAATCTAATCAAAATCTAATAGTTAAAGAAGAAATTTAAAAGAAAACATTGAATTGCACGAGTTAAAAGAAAAAATAATGGCAAATTTTAATGTAATTTTACATGTTACAAACGAACTTAATTATTGATTTACTGTGATTTTTTTTTGTATAAAATACCTCAGATTTTCGTATCTATTCAAATTTAAAAATATAAGATTGGTAGGTTTTTATGTTAATCTTTAACATCTGTACTTTATCAAGATTTCTTAAAATATTTGAAACTAGAAAATGTATTTATGTTTAAAAAGTTATAACTTTATTTGTTTTTCTTGATGAAGTTTGACAAAGTCAAAATTTATTTCAAAAGGGTTAGAAAAAATATGCAAACTATACATTTTTGCGAGTTCCTTATAATAATTGCTTTTTCATTTAAAAAAAAGCTGTCTAGTTATCTTTTACACAAATTTTTTTAATTGAATACTCTTTCGATTTCTTCTACAGATCTTTGTATTAACCCTGAAAATATGTGATAAGGCTCAATGTATGATGTCTTCTATTGTAGTTAAGGGCATTTAAAAATTTAGTCTTTAACAAGATGTCGTATTAAATCAAAAAAGTATATTTGTTCTTCATTTATGTTTTATTTTAGTATAGGGTGCCAAACATTTTTGAGTGAAGAGCCACTCTATAACTGGGCCCTAATAAAAAGTGGCGTGACTAAGTTCTTTGTTAGTAAATATGGTAATTTCTAATTTTTGGCATGTAATTTTCACTTTGGTAATTGAATTTTCTACATATAAATACTTGAGAATATTACAAGTCTTAACAAAAGCTAAGACACAACAAGAATTGTAAAAAAAAAAGAATTGAAGCACTTTTAATGCAAGAATTTAAAAGCATTTTATAGAATAAGAACCATTTTTTAAAATAGAAAATTGTGATGTTAACTTTGAATATGTATATATAATATTTAAAAAATGTGAAGGCAAACAAAATTTTTTTTAAATGAAAGCTTAGTTTATTAAAGATCTAACTAAATAATAAATAGTTAATATATAATATCCATGCAAAACTAATCTCTTGATATCTGATAGTCTTACGGCACAAATTGCTCACAAGTGCAGTTTATTTTTTTGTTTTGTTTTTGGGTTATACAATTGGTCATTCTTATAGGATTGCTGAGTTTCCAACTGTGTTTTACTTTTTTTAGTTGTTGCACAAATTCAATATGGGAAGTATCTATGAAGGATTAGTAGAAGCCAATGGTGAAGACTATAATGTTGAAGACATTGATGGCCAGCCTGGAGCTTTCAGGTGTTACTTAGATGTTGGTTTGGCAAGAACCACAACTGGGGCTAAAATATTTGGTGTTATGAAAGGAGCTGTCGATGGAGGGTTAGACATTCCTCATAGGTAATTATATTAAAAGTTTCTATTATCTTAAATTTTACGTGTATAGTGTGCAAAAAGTAGACTGACCACCCTCAATAACTTTTAATCTAATGATTGGAAAACTTTTATTGGTGGTTTGCGGGGGTGTCCTCAAATATGCTAATTAATGCTGATGATATTTAAGTTATAAAATCAGATGAAAAAACATACATTCTCTGAATAAATGTATCTTTTTCCAAAGATTTGAATTTTTGTTTGAAATATGGCTGTAATAGTTGTTCAGGAAAGCAGTACAAAGTTCAGACCCTTTATTGTTAATTATACATTTTGCGTATTTCACCATATCTCAAAAGCCTTGTAAACGAATTTGAAACTTTTTACATAATATTATAAAATCTGTTAATCCAAAGATAATTAGATGCAAAAGAATAACTTTCTAAATCAATAACTAATTTCTTTCTTTTTAAACATTAAATAAATATTTATTGTTTAGTTAATTGTTAATATTACCTGAATGTTTCCTGAGAAATTTTATTTTGAAAAAGTTGTATTGAAATAAGTCACAGGAAAATCAAAAATGCAAAAGATCTTATCCTGTATTAAAATCGCTCAAAATATAAAATCAAAACGAGAAAACACTCTTTTAGTATTCATTTATCTAACAGTATTTACATGAATTATAGATTGATAATATAATGTGATTTGTATTGGTGCAATGTAAAAATAAAATGCCACGATACATATTTTAAAGATTTTTAAATCAGACTTTAATTTAAATTCACATTAAGGCTGCATATCATGATTTGTGTTCACATATTTTTAAAATCAAATATGCGAATTTAGATCTACTGCACTATCTTGTTCACTCAAATTTAAAACTCCCTTTGTGATATATATTCATGAGATAATATAATCAAGCATAGTAATTCATGCTCAGTTGGTTAGAAAATTCACTTACCCACGCTTCATATTTGTGCGATTAAAAATTTAAATAGCCAGATTAATATGTATGCCATTTAAAAAGTGTAACATGATTTAAAAGCCATGGGTCATAGTCACACAATGTGAGATTAAAAAATGTTTTCTTAGTGCTATTTATTTTTGAGTTAAGAATACTATTTTATGAATGAAAAGTGAAAATATAAGTTTTGTATCATTTTTTAAAAATAAAATTTTTTATTCTCTTTTAGCAACAAGAGGTTCCCTGGCTATGATGCAGAAAGCAAGGAATTCAGCCCTGAAGTTCATAGAAAACATATCTTTGGACAACATGTTGCTGAATATATGAGAATGTTAATGGATGAAGATGAAGAGGCTTACAAAAAACAATTCTCACATTATATCAAGCTTGGAATCACACCTGATGATGTACGTATTGGTTTAATTTGTTTATCATTTCTTTTTCTCCCTTTGAAACTGTAGTGGTCAAAATTATATATAGAAAGATGGTAAATACAGGCAGTATAACAGTTCAGCATGGATGCATGATGTGCCTAAACATATGGCTGGTTGTTCAGGAAAGCTCTTTCATTTAATTAAATATGAGATATAGCTATGACTTTAAAATCTTAAAATTTTTTATCTACAGGACCATCCACTAATGATACCAGGTTATTATACAAGATTTTGAAATCTCACCCTATTTCGCCAGTGCTAACATTTAATAAAATTGCAAATGCTTTTGCATACTGACAATATTTTAAGTTAACAAAGTTTTTGAAATTTTAATCAAGCTAATTCAAATTGCATACAAATATATATTCCAATATCAACTTTTTAAACAATTTGCATTTATTTGTAAATGCTTCTATTTAAATAAAAATTGTGCCCAATAATTCTGATTAAAGGATATGTATATCCAGGGATGAGATTTTTCCGCTTTTTTCACTTTTATCTCTTAAATTTCAGCTTTTTTATCAAAAATTCAGATTTTCTAAAAAAAAATTTTTTTTTATAAGTATTCCGCTTTTTCAGAAAATTCACCGATTTTCAAAGAGAAACAGAAAATTCAAACTACATGGCTACCAATTCTTTCTCATTTTTACTTATTTTAGCTATTTTCTCCCCTTTTACACGCAGCAGATAAGATTTTCCGAATTTTTTACCCGCCCTCCAGATAGATCCGATTTT